CCCCGCAGGAGCCTTTCCCAGAGGTGGAGACCACCGCTGCTGGAGGTTCCTGCTCTCCAAATATCAGTCTAGTGGGGTTTAACCGTGTGCCAGGGAGGGCGGGCGGGGAAAAAGAGGTTTATTCGGTCGTATGGGGCCTCTTTTGTTCTGAGCGGTGCACAGAAGGAGGGCCCATCTGCAATAGGGGATATCCCAAAATAACAAGGCAAATAGAGTGTTTATGTAACGCCAGAGAGTTGTATACTATTGCTAGTAAGTCATAAGCTCGCACAGAGAGCCTGCCAAGTGACGGTAATGCTTCTGAAGAAGGGAGGTTCAATAGCTGCTGCAGGAGCGGGGTGGAAAAGGGCCTTTTAAAATCCACATATTGGCAGAGGGACAGCGTTTGGAGCAGCCGGCTCCTGGGATAAATGGGCCATCAGGCAGAGCGGATGGGGCTGCCTCGATCTTCTTTGCACTTCACCAAAATTATGGTAATTGTGTACGTATGTATCTGTGCAGTAGCAAGCCCAGAATTAAAATACACTTCGTATGCATCTCAATTAAGACTTATTTTCAGCGACTTGAATTCTAGATGTGAATTTAATGGTAGCTGTGGGAATAAAAATCTGCAATTGTAATTATGCTGGACAAGCTGGTGCAATGTGACTGCAGCGAGGCACTGGCATGAATTGAAAGCTAAGGATGTTTAAGGTTTAAAACACTTTATTGAGTAGCTCTTCCTCTCTTCTCATAACGTTCTGTCCTTGCAGAGGTCTCTGCAGCCGTCTGGGTGATTTAAGATGCCTCTTGCATTTGCAGGACTGTCTGAACAGCTTTTCAAGGTGGACAGCAAGTTTGTTCCGTGGGTTTTGCTGTACAAAATGTCCTCAGCATCACCCGTGCCACGTCTCTGCCTCTTGGCACAGTTTTGGGAAGCAAAGCAAAACCAGGTTCTTCCTCCAAAAAAAATCACAGCTGGGTCCCCCAGCCCTCCTGGACTCCCTGCAGCCGAGGCTTCGGTTCAGGCTGGGAGGTGCAGGGAGCGGGGATTATTTTTGATGCCGGGAAGGAAATGCCGTGCTTCCCTTTCCCGCGGGCGCTGCTGCTGGGGCTGGGCTCCTGGAGCTCCCTTGTCCCCAACCCATGCTCCAGCTGATGCTGACAGCTCCAGCCTCCGTGTCTCCACAGCCTCCCCGAAAGCCCGCAGCCCGCCGGGCTGCCCCGCAGCCTTCACCTGGCAGGTTCCTTGCCTGGAAGGGGAGCATTGATGGCAATGATTTGCTATGACCCTAGCAAATGCGCGCAGCTCGTTTCCGGGGATCCCTCTGTGCTCTCCTTCGCCCGAGATGACCATGATGGTCAGTATTGCACTGAGGACACCTAAATCCTGGTGGCTCTGGCCATTCCTCTCCCCCTGCCGTGCCATAGCCGGGAATCAGCCTGATTTAGACTAATATGGGTGGATTTTCCCACCCCACTGAACAATTCTGTTTCTTTTGCTATTTGCTTTGATTGAGATGCTGATGAACACTTGCCGGCTCTGACCATTTCTGCTTCTTTGTGTGACGGCGTTGCCGTAAGGCTGGTACGCTTCATGGCTGGAAATAGCAGCTCAGGGATGTGCAAGTAGCATTTAGCAGCTCAGAGGAGCTTCTGGATCTGCAAACACCTCCACTGGGATTTGCACCGTGGCTTTGGACCTGCAGTAACCTTTTGAATTCGAGGTCTGGGATCTCTAAAATGAGTTTGCAGCACTCGGAGGCCTACCCGGGCTCTCGGCTTGCTTTCCATAAATACAAAGGGCCCAGTCCTGCGACTGACAGTAGAAAATGGGAAAAGACTGAGCTGAAATAATAAGCCTTGTCATAAAGCTGTAACCCCGACGAATCAGTAACTCGTGAATTGGGACCCTGGTGAAGATTTATAAACCTTTGATCAGATTTAACCAGGCGGCTGGCATTCCCCGGTGCGCAAGGATTGCTCCAAGCCCTGGGTCACACCAGCTGCCTTGCAAAGCACCGAAGGTTTCTTGTCAACATGTTAAACTCAACCCCACAAGTTGGCCGCTAAACATTTGCCAAGCTCTTTTTATATATAACTACCCCGTGGGGCAGCCACAGACCTTTACCTTTCTGGCCGTAGCCAACATCTCACTGTTAATTCAAAGTGTTAATTGCTCTCAGGCCGAAAGACGATGCTGTGCGTATTTGTGCCATGGCCTGAAAGGTTAATCTGCAGTGTAAAGCCAAATCCCCTCTGTTAGGCATAAGTGTTGTGGTTCAAAATGCCTTTTTTTTTTTTTTCCCTCCCCCTAGACTTTCAGTGCCAATTTGTTCAGCTTTCAGTAGGGCAGAAGTTGGACTTCATTACCGAAGTCCATTGTAATGATTTCTCAGATTTTTTTGAGAGTAGCCAAGGCTTGTGCAAGTTTGCATGCTTTTCTATATTTGGTTTTGTTTAATTTGATTGTACAAAGCTGTTGAAAAGTCTAGCTGAACATTTCCACTTTCTGGCTGCATGATTATGCCATTATACCAGGAGTTCACAGAAAAAAAAAACTTCTGCTGGCTTTTCTCAGTAACCCTGAGATCGAGATCCCGTTTTCAGATGGGGACAGAAGAAAGTTCGTTTGTCACGCTGTTCTCATCTTGATTAAGTTCAGACGTGGCTCGTGGGGATAGCCTTCATGATGTCTGTCCTGGAGTGTGTTCCTCGGTACCTTAAGCCTGTTTGGTGGTGTGTCTGCTGGGGCTTCGCCCCTGGACTCTGCTGGGTTTGCCCCTGGCTTTCTGGCTGGTGCCCCGCCGTGCGTGAGCATCCGTGCCGAAGGACGGAGGAAGGAGCTGTTGCAGTCAATGTCAGCTGGCAGTTTTAATTTGGGTTAAACTGATGTTTCATGTTGGGAATCCGGGATCTGAGAAGGATCTGGAGCTGAAAACTGAATTATTTTGTTGCCGGTGCCTTAACCTGGGAAGTGCCTTGCTTTCAAGCTTCTTTCATTATTATGAAAATTAAAATAATCCTCATACAAAGTCCATAAGCTCAAAACTTACTGGTAGCTCTATCATTTGCAATCTCAAGTGCAGAAGCGTCCCTGTAACTTGTCCTGCAGCCTCTTGAGGTTCTGGTGTGCTTGCCCAGATGACACCCTGCGGAAACGTTTGGTTTTTCCTTTGAAATGAGAGCTTCGGTTGTCGCCGTCGATGCTGACACACCCCCCGGTCAGTATTTTTGGAGATGGAGGGTTTAGGCTAATCAGAGCTTTGCAAAATGCAGCTGCAGCGCCTGGATCATTCCCTCCCCCTCTCCTTCCCTTTCTCCTGCGTGGTGGGGGGACATTGCACCGTTAACGCCGGTCGGCGGTTGTCGGGACTAGAAGATGCTCTGCAGGAATGGCAGGGGGCTGCGGGGAGAGCAGGGCAGGCGTTAGCGAAAAATATTCCAGGTGTTAAGGAAAATATGGCACAGTGGCTGTCTTTTGGAGTTATCACCGTGCTTTGGTTCCCCAAGTGCTTCCCAACTGGGACGTGACCTTCAAGGACCCCACGGTTACGTCCCTGCTGGAAGGAGACGTGGCTGTTGGGTTTCGCACTGTTGTTCCTTTGGGAAGTAACTTTTAGTGTCATTTGGGAATTTTCCAGTTTTGTTTGTGGAAACTGAAAGACCTGGAGAAGACACGGTGTTTCTATTTAATTCTGCTTGCAAACCTCCTAGTTCTGCTTTCCGTGTGTGCTGAGGTGGCTGGACTCACCTTCGGGTAGCGCAGGTGTCCTGCGTGGTGGGGATGGGGAAACCCAAGAATTGATAGTTAACCTAAAAAGCTGTGCAAAATCCCTCCCGAGGAAGGTGTCGGGTCGTTCGTGACCCCTTGACTTCGTGCTCCAGCCTCGTCGCTGCTGGGCTGCCCGTGATGCACGGGCACGTTATGTCTCACCCTTATTCCTCTTGGGTTCTTTCCTACTTTTATCTCCAAGGTGGCTTCTAGATGCTATTGAGTACAGGCAATTATTTGTATCTGAAAAGGGCTGCCGGCGTTTTTGGATCAATAGTCGCTTTTCAGTTAAACGCATTTAAACTTCTGCTTTTGTCTTTTGAAAGCTAATTCTGGTCCCGGTTTTAACTGGTAAAATGGTTTCTTTGTTCTAGATGTCAAGAAAGACTGGTCGGATCACGCGCTGTGGTGGGAAAAGAAGAAAACTTGGCTCCTTAAAACGCACTGGACGTTGGACAAATACGGGATACAGGCTGATGCCAAGCTCCAGTTCACACCTCAGCACAAGCTGCTTCGCCTTCAGCTGCCCAACATGAAGTACGTCAAGGTGAAAGTCAACTTCTCGGACAGGGTCTTCAAGGCGGTTTCTGACATCTGCAAAACGTTCAGTAAGTAGCGAGTGCCGAAAGCCGACGGTTTCCAGCTGCCGGTGGGGAGGTCGTCATTTGGTTTGGCTCCTGCCTGTCCTTCAGCATGTGTGCTCATCTCATAAACTCATTAATTTAATGTTATTTTCCAGCTTCAAACACCCAACAGTCACCTGGGCATCAAGCAGCCTGCGTATCCAGTATTTTTCCCTTGCAAATCTAACCTTTTATGTGTAAATACTTAAATAACGGGACCGATCATACCGCAAATGTAAGAAGAAATACGTTTTTTGTGCTGAATTCTGTTTCATGGCAAGGCTGTTCTCGGTTTTGTCTTAGGCGAGGCGAAGCTGCTGGTGTTGGGTCATAGGTTTTTTTCCGCAGATTTATACACTAGATGAAAAACAAACCCTGAAATAGGAAACCTGCCAGCTCCATGGCTTCTCTTCCAGTGGAAAATCGTATTAGAGATTAAGTGATGATGCTTCACTGTAAAACTGTCTGGTGGAGGGAAGGAACCGAGTCTCCCTTTCTCCTCCCCAACTCCTCTTCACGATCCCTTCTCTTGTTGAGAAGAAGCCCTAGAAGAAAGGATGGATCATTTCCTACCGGGTACACAGGGCTTGTCCCGGGCTGCTGCTTTTGTGCATTGCTTTTCACCCATCTTCACAAATTTCTTATCCCAGAAGCCGGTGCTTCTTCCTCCCCCCCCCCAAATTTACCTAGGAGATGGTTCCTAGGAGGAACTCAAATAAGCGCTCGGCGTGAGCTCCGTACCGGTGTCCTTCCCGGTTGCTCCCCTCCGAAAAGAGCTTGCAACCCGACCTCGGCCGTAGTAAATCTATTTCTGCTCTCAAAAAGCAGCTAGGGTTACTCTTGGCTGACCCAGTTGTTTCGTGAGGCAGGAAGAGCTCAGCCATACGTGCGGTGTTACAGCGTGGCCTTCGGCGCATCTGTGGTTAAGTCGATATATATAGCTGATTACGAATCTTTGCTATTTCTTTCCTGTTTTTTTTTTTTTTAAATTTAAATATTGGGCACTTTCTCCTTAAAATGGAAAAGGTGCTCTCAAAAAGCAGCTAGGGTTACTCTTGGCTGACCCAGTTGTTTCGTGAGGCAGGAAGAGCTCAGCCATACGTGCGGTGTTACAGCGTGGCCTTCGGCGCATCTGTGGTTAAGTCGATATATATAGCTGAATTTCGAATCTTGCTATTTCTTTCCTGTTTTTTTTTTTTTTAAATGTAAATATTGGGCACTTTCTCCTTAAAATAGAAAAGGCTTAGCCAGCATTATTTCCCAGTCGATTTTGCTTCCCCCCTGTCTCCCGTTGCCATTTTTAATGCCATGCTAGACAGAGAGGTCACGGGCATCCGCTCGGTTGCTGATGAATCTAGCAGTGAGTCACGTCAGGAAATTCTGATACAGTTAATCACGTAACAAGAGATCTTTCACTGACGCCGCAGAGCAGTCAGAACCTTACATGGGCCTGAAGCAGCTATTTATTCAACTCCAGGGCTCTCAGTGTATTTATGAACAAACTGGCAGAATAATGCTAATATTTAAAGATGTGGAAGGGGAAAAAGCCGCTCGGATAGCTGCAGCCCGGCTGTGGTAGGAGCTCTCTGCAACAGGCAGGGGGGACACATCTGTCGAGGGTGGTTCTGACTTTCCTTCCATGGCATCCGACGTGCTGAAATAAATGTTCCCGATTTTGGGGAAAGCAGGATTTTTGCTGGAAACTTCACTCTCCTTCTGGTGACTCTTACCAGCCTGAGCTGACTGAGGGTGGACGGAAACTACGTGGCTGAATACAGCGATTAAATCTTGTTCAGCCCTTGTCTTTGCGTTTACTGGGAGCCAGATGTTCAGCAGAGCTATGGGGAAGACGGCCACATCGGCTCAACGTCGGCTCGAGGGAAGGGGGAATCGGGATGCAGGGAAGAGGTACTGGAGCTGGAGGGGCTGGAAGCTCTTCCGTGGACCACAGAGGTATTTGGACATCTGTATGATATAGATATAATAGGTGTATTTGGACACCTATTATACAGAGGTGTATATATAATAGGTGTATTTGGATACCTGTATAATATAGCTATAAAAGCTGTATTTGGACAACTATTATATATAGATTTTTATATATATATCCAAATATCCATATCCATATATGTCCAAATACAGCTATTATAGCTGTATTATACAGGTGTGTGTGTATATATATATATTTGGACACCTATTATATATAAATATATATATATAAATCTATATATACTAGGTGTCCAAATACAGCTATTATAGCTATATTACACAGGCGTGTGTGTGTGTGTGTGTGTATATTTGGACACCTATTATATATAAATATATATATATAAATCTGTATATAATAGGTGTCCAAATACAGCTATTATAGCTATATTATAGAGGTGTCCAAATACCTCAGTGGTCCAGGGAAGAGCTTCCCAGTGGCATGACATATATATTTATATATT